GAACTTGTTCTAAATATATAAAAAGGTGCTTTATAAAATAAATAACTAAATAGTAAGCACTAACCTGCTGATAAAAAAAGAAATATGCTTATTTTACTTTAGGGAATCTCGAATCAATATACCTGCGAATAAGAATCTTGAATGAGATGAAACACCTTTATTTTTTTACGCCTTCCAAAATAGGGAGAAAGTGATAAAGTGATAAAGTGATAAAGTGATATAAGAACTTTGCAAGTCCAAATTGAGGAACTACTTTAAATTTGCAGAAGTATTGATATATCGATTTGCTTTTATAACATTTGAGGTTAATCTATATATTTTGCTCCTTTAATGTGAATTTTTTTTCTAGTATATGAGAGACTAACCGCGGAATTCTCAGTTTTATTGAAACCCATTTTGCTGAGAGTTATTTTTAGTTGATCATCAAATATGTTTGGAAACATCTTTATAATAATTAAAGTGTTGAAGCTACCTAATAAGCAGGAAGTACCAAGGTTAAAGCAACCATATAATATGAAGACAGAAAGGATTATATCCTTTTTAGTTATAAGTATTTAAGACTACTAGAAAATTCAATGTTTATTTCTTTAGTTTTAAATAATCAATAATATCTTTGCTTAATCCTATTTTTAAATAAATCATTTTTTGAAATCCTAGTATAAAATTTATCAAGTATTTATTGTATTTTCGAGAACAATATATTTCTACTCCATATATGAGCATGGTTTTTTATAAACATTTATCTAAAAAAATGCATTGGAAAGGATTATCATTTAAATATTTTTTTAATGAAGACTGAAATATATGTAAGTAATTAATATTTTTTTTAAAAAACTTTCCTCTTTTTCTTAACATTAAAAATATTATTAAAATTTGATTATATTATATCTGGTGTCTCCTTGTTCGACTATTATTGTCCGATGTCTTTTTGTCCGGGGGTATTTATATCCAATGCCTTTTTTGTCCAGAATATTTATGTTCGGGTCTTTTTGTCCTGGATACTTTTGACCGATTTGCCAATTTACACATATAAAATGATAAGAGATTATTACTAAAGATATTGGAAAAGAAACTTTATTCAAAATATTTTACGGGCCGAATAAGCTGGAGGGAGGGAGGGGCTTATATTTATTGTTAAATTTTATAAGGTTAAAGTAAAGAATATGATAAAATAACATTGGGTGGGCGCGGGTTAAACAGAATTATTTGAATAAATGGGCGAGCAGATCAATATTATAAAAGTTATAACCGGGTTGGCCTAAATAATATTTTTAGACAGATGGCATTTAGTAGAGCCAAACCTCATAACTGACCCCGAAAAACCCCCTAAGTCTTTTTTTATAAGTAAAGGGAGAGGTGTTTTTTTGATAATTTTGTTTTTATTCACTGGTTAATTATCAAAAAAATGAATTTAAAACTAAGTTTATGTAAAAAAAACAATTAATGATTATAAAAATAAGCGCATATATATAAAAAAAATTTAAAAAATAAACAATCTGATTAAAAATTAAATTTGAAACAAAACAGCATTACTATATGAAACCATGAATAGCAATGCAATTGCTTTAATGAATATCCATCGTAATTGCTTGTTCGAAATAGAAGAATTCATATATATGTTTTTCTGGGAGTTATTTTTCGTGATTCTCTAAAAAAAGGCCCATTATCTCATTGCATATATAATATTTATTTTTAGAAAAATGTAATAAATTCCAAATTAGACAATATAAAGGTGAAATATAGTGTAAAATGATAAGAATAAGGTAGAAAAGGTGAGTCTAGAGAAGATCTGTGGAGAGAATACTGCCATTGAAACTTTGATAATTTGCTTTATGGAGAGCTATATTCAGTGTCTGTCTGAGGAAGAAGCCCTCTTGAGTATTGCCATTATGCTTGCGGATGTGAGATCCTATATCCTTGAAGAAAGATAATACAAGCTTACCAAAGGAGGTTAAAACATTGGATAATATAGGGATAATGATATGATCTTCTGGTATTTTCGAATATTTGGAAATTTTATGTTATACTTTTTGATCAATTAGGTTTGGAGTTTGGTTGGATAAAGCTAATGGATCTATCTATACAAGAAAAGTTCTAAACCAAAAATTAGCCCCGTTTCTATGGGATCAGGGTGATTCTGTGAGGTCACCTTCCTATGAATCTAAAAAGTCCTGGTGCTTCTAGCGGGTATTTGGCGGATTTCAATGTTCGCTGGGGGTTTGCCTGAGGATTTGTCCTTTGCATCTATATATTTTTTTCCAGTCTACAGGGATTCTGCAGCCATAATAGATGTGAGGAAAGGTATTGTGCAATCTAGGTGGATTATTGCATGAATTTAAAGCGAAATATATCCAGATGCGAATATAAAATAAATAGAAGCGCCAATAAATAACGCGAACACGATGTGGTTAATATAAAGGAAATAAAGTCATAATATGGGTCGGTGAATATAAAGGCCTGAACTGGCAAATAGGTTTAATTATATTAAGCGAATGAATCAAGATATGAGAAGTAGCTGTAATGAATACCTCGATAAATGATGCGATATTAATATATAGAAATATAACGGTTTTTATTTTAAAAAAAATATTAAATAATGAATTCTGATATAAAAACGGAATAGTCTAATAACGAAAATTAAGCTAAATATAGGCAAGTTTTGATATATACAATAAACCACTATTGGATAAGAAAACGTGTAATAGCGCGAAAATTAAAGCTAAATGGCGAAATATAAAAGAGGGATTATTGGAATTGAAAGGAAAAACGAATACACAAGATGCAATACCTCCTGTTAGAAGTCTATGAATTGATATGCGAAAATAGCAAAGGAATAATAAATATGTAACCAAGAAATATCAAGCAAAGAGCGAGAATGACGCTCAATATTAGAGGTTTCTAGATATTTTTTTTAAAAAAATGTTAACCTCGAACTATATCAACGGTTTATTTTAATTAATTATAAAAGATTTATTTTTATTTTTAATGATTAAAAATTATACTCTTATAAACTTAAGACAATGATGTTGTGTTGTTATATTTTCGGACCATATGATTTATTATAGTATATATTTTATTTTAATCAATTTAGAGGTAAAGGCAGAATTATTTATATATTTTTAAAGGATGGGTTTTTCTTCTGGGTCCGCAAGAATTTTGATTAGGTTATTTAAAATTAAGAGATTTGGCTGAGATTAAGTTGTAATGATATTGGTCAAGGTGATCAAATAAATAAATAATTAACTTTGAACATTCCATTATATGTTTCTAAAAAATGACATATAAAAATATTATATTTAAAAAATATGTAAAATGCATTGAACCCCCCCCCCCTTCCTCCTCTCCATTAAAATTCATTTAAACAAGATTGGCGTCTATTGCAATCATTGGCATACAACTGAATTCAACGTAAGTGCACTTTTAATTGTTAGCATAAATTACAGAAGCACTGCGACTTATAAAAGTTTTTATGGGTGTTTTTTAAAAAAAAATATGATTTTAAAATATTAATAGATCCATATTATCCATTTTATATAATATTTCAATGCGGGCGTGAGTCCCGCTACCTTCATATAGTCGGTCCCTATGATAGGTTAATATTAGTATCAATGTTATCGTATACCATATATTTTTTTAAATATATTAGATTGCATCATTAAATTGACCAATCTAATCCATTTTTTAAAAATAAATAATTCATTCATATAGTTTGAGAATCCTTAAAAATATATAAAATATATATCATATTATATATTTTTTAATATTTTGTAACATGATTTATTTATATTTAAAAAAAACAGAATTGTAAAAGAAAAAATTCAAATCATGAAACAAATTTTATTTATTTATTTATATAAATAAAAATATTTTCTTACTTTTATATCACAAAAAAAATTAAACTGAAAAGAATGCCACCCTTCTTACGCCTAAATTATCGTTTCATAATCACGATGTCATTATTCCAATATTGCAGGTAACATTTCTTTAATATGGTAAACACAAAACATTTATATTTAACTTAATCTTTTTCATAACTTTAAATATATCGCATTCGTTTGAAAACGGAAATTATGTCTTTTGAAAAATGTACGCTTATGTGACTTAAAAAAATATATATATTATAAAATCAGAGATCTTGTGGAAGTGGTTTTAAACTCCCTTAAAATATTTTGAATGATATTTTTAATTCAAATAACTTCTGTAAAATTTTAATATTATAAGTTTACTTAAAATTTTATGTCAAAATAGTTTGAAATATATAGAATAAGTGTCTTTCAAAACTAAAAACGCGTAAGGTATTAAATATTTGAATTTTAAAGATCCCTCCATAGCCTAAACTCCCAATTTCTCCATTTCCTATAAGGTACAACATTATAAAATGTTATCATATTAACATTATTTGGTTCGTATTTTATTTGTAATTAACATTTATATGAATATATTATTTTTTTTAATTTATAAATATTGATGATTGTCCTTTAATTAAATTTTTCAATAGATAATGGCTTTTATAGTTGTCCTTGCATTATATTTCTTTCTTTCCCTTTCTTTCCTTCTTTCTTTCTTTCTTTCTTTCTTTCTTTCTTTCTTTCTTTCTTTCTTTCTTTCTTTCTTTCTTTCTTTCTTTCTTTCTTTCTTTCTTTCTTTCTTTCTTTCTTTCTTTCTTTCTTTCTTTCTTTCTTTCTTTCTTTCTTTCTTTCTTTCAATCTAAAATAAATTATAAATATAAACTATTCTCTTATTTTAACGACTAAAGAAAATTGACGATATAAATAAGGTATATACATAAGCTAGATTGAAGATTATCCAAAAATAAATTACTTTCCATAAACTGAAACTAACAATTTTTATTGATTTCAAAAAAAAAATTTGGTTTTTCCCGATATAAATATAGTAGTGCTTATTTTACTATTGACCAAACAATAAACTCTTTCGCTTTATATAATATATAAAAATATATATTTTTAGGAATGCATTGAACCCTAATATAGTTATAGAGAAATCAATATTGGATACTTTGTTCAATAATTACGATAAAAGAGTGCGTCCCGGTACTGGCAAAATGGGGAATATTACTGGTATTTTTTTTTGGTTCTTATAAATCTCATGTACCACAATTTTTTTTCTTAAGAATTTCCCATTTTTTAGCCATTTTTTGCATTATAATTTTTCTAAATTTATATTTTAAAGAGAAATAAATATTTAAGAAATAAGTTAATTCTCCAAAGATTTCTCTTGAATTTATATTATAATTTTTCCAAATTGTTTGGTCTTTTATTTAAAAAAAATAAATAATGAGTTATTAGGGATGTCTACTAAATATTGAATAAGAAAATAATAAATACAAAATATGTAATAATATTCCTATTTATTATTTAGAGAAATAAAAGATCGAATGTTTTTTTAATAGATTCATATAAAATATTTATGACAAAACTCTTATAAGTTGAAAAGTTCACAAAAATCCGATTTTTGAATTTAATATTAAATAAAAAGAACTCCAAAAATTTATTTAAAGTTGAAAAAAAAAAGATACGATGATAGAAAAAACAGATTGGAGCTAATATATGACATACTGTCTATATATAAAAAGTTCGCAAGTTGGTCAATTTACCAGTAAAATTCAATGAATTGACAGGAGTATTTGAACTGGTCAAATGCTCTAAAAAAATCTGAAGAAAAAATTTTTTTTAAAAGGGAAAAACGATATTAATACATGTGATCAAAAGCTGCTTATTTTTTGTGCCCATAATATCAAGAGGAGCATCTCACTAGTAGTGAATTTAATGAACAGATATAATACAAAAAATAGCCATTTTACAAGTGGTGATGACCAAAATATTTTAAGTGATATAGTTAATTTCAGGAGTATAACGGCATGTTTAATCATTTTATATGGAAACAGTAATTTCCATAAGAAATAATTAATTCCGACCTAAAGTTAGTGGAATAAACTTTTGCCCGCCATGCCCATTAAGAGACTTTCAATTACTAGATCTACTTTTTTTCTTTAGAAAATATAGGTTGATTTGGGTTAATATTCTTACGAAAACAGAAATCGATTGAAGATCTCGACATCAGGAAAATTGAATATTAAAGAAAATGATAATATTGAATGAATCAGAACAAGACTCTGCTACCGAAAGCTAAACGTTATAAATTCATTTTACTATTATATTCGAAATAAAGTTAATATTGACTTAAAAAAACATTTATTTGAATTTGACCATATTTGACCTGTCAAATTCACAACACTGTATAAAAATGTTAATTTTTTATTTAAAATGCTTTTAAATAGTGTAACTTTGAATTCACAGTTAGCGTTAATTTTCGGTGAGAAATATATAAGAATAAATGTAAAATATTGTATTAATAACATATTTTGTATACTTCACTGCGATTCGCGCTACCGGTGAAAGCAGGGTAATATTAGTTAACCAGTGGACTAAGGAGAGTCTTCGGAAGAAGAAAAAACATAAAATTTTAGAAAATTGCACTTTGAGAATTTGAGTGGCTAGTGTCCGTCTAAATATTCTTTTTATTTATATTAGGTCATTTCAAAGCTTACAAATCCTATAACGATAATTATTCTATATATTTATTTTCTTTTTTTTCGTAACCTAGAAAATGATCCGGCTATAGTAACGGTCAATATGTATTTGAGAAGTATCTCGAAGATCGATGACGTCAGCATGGTAAAGTTTGTTTATTGAAAGAAAAATAATAATGATTTGAAACCTGGACCTGAAAGATTTTTAGTTCCGGTTTTAAATAATAAAATGAAAATATGATGACAATATTATGGAAAATATGGTATTAATAATGATAATAATATATATTCTAAATTTTTAGATTATTTATATTTGCTGATACACTGTATCAGCATATTTTTCAAAGTTGGTTAAAATTTGGTTTCAAATTTGAAGAAGAAGAAAAGAATTAAAACAAGCGAAATTAGTCAATGAAATTTCAAAATTTCCAAATTATACTAAATCATAGGAGAAAAAATAATTTAAAAAAAATTATATTTTTTTTTAACTTTCTCCCAGAGAATAAAGATAACAATTAGGGATTTGAGAATCCCGGCCCTGCCCGTTATTTTTTAATAATCATTTCGGACTGGACTGAGTCGGGTCGGACATAATATTTTTTTAGAAAATTTGGGCCAGGGCAGGTTCAATTTTGTGAAATAAATTGATAACAAGGCGCCAATATTTTTTATTTGCAGAATAATTTTTTTATATTTAAATAAATCCAGGTTGAGGCGGACTAATTTTTATTTTTGGCTCGGAATCGAGCCGGCTGGAGACAAATTTTTTTAAAGATCACTAATAAGGATATCAATTTCAATATATATAAAACTTTGAATGATCACTTTATAAATGAATTATTAATTTTATCTTCACATATATATGTAATTTTATTTTTCAAAATATGCTGGTCAGTAGAGTTGGGTAATTACAAAAAAGAATGGCTGACACGGCTCAATCTACAGGCGAAAGAAAACTCCTGAGATGAGTTAATCTATTTCAATTTACTAAAAGATGTATTTGCCAAAAAAGGCTGATGTTAGAGTCCAACAGAACCGGCCCGACAGCCCATCATAAAATATAGGCTCGGCCCACCCACAAAAATATTAATAATATATTTCCTTCCTTTACTTACTCTTTTTTTGCCTGTTGAATATTAAAATTATAAGAGTTATATGAAAAAAAATGGGCCAAGGTGTAAATATCAGGAGATGGGAGAAATATTTACTATTCATTTTTTTAAAATAATTTGTAGTATTGGTAATGTAACTAGTTACAGGAATTAACTTGAAAAGTAACTAATAAAATATGTAAAATTGTATCTCTCAAATTATTACCTTATTTGATGATTTACTTAAATTTTAAATTATTGTTTTATTATGTCACAGAAAAAAATTATTCTTGTTTTTTTGGGGGACCTTGTAGTCCCACATCCGTTTTTATAGAATGAACATTTTTATATTTTTATTTTGTATTAGTATGAATTTTATACTTATTATATTATGATGTTGGATAAAGCGCTCTAGAATGTTTATTTAGTGTATGGAAGCTTATTTTTTGAGAAAATCAAGCACTTTTTTAAGAAAAATAAATATTACTTTGTGCAAATTTAGATTTTTTTTTATCGGTGCTTATATATATATTAAATGATAAAAAAATTTCATAGCAAATACTTATTTAGTATTTTCATTTCTTTTAAGGATGCAAATAAGTTATATATTAAAAGCAACTTCTAACGACACTAATATTTTGTAATAAAATATATAAGCATCATTAAGTATCAAGTTATGGCTAAGATTTTACGCATAACATTAAAATAAAATACGTATTTTAAGTTTGAGATTTTTTCCCTATAGAACTTTTTTAAAAATTTGGGGTGCAGAGCACAACAGACTTGGCTTAAATTTTAGAAAAAAATTCCCACCAGGTCGTTCCACTGGTTAAAAAATTTAGAGCAATTATTGCGCAAAATGAGTATTTCCTATTTTAAAAATATTGTGCAAAATATTTACTCCCATTTTTAAATATTTAATTAACCCCAAAATAGGAGTACAGCATTCAGCTTACGTTTAGGGAGGAGTGGAACGACGAAAGATTGAGATTCGATAATATGGGGAAAATAGAGTACATCAACCTGCCTACCATGGATAACATATGGCAACCAGATTTGTTTTTCGGCAACGAAAAAAACGCCCATTTTCACGATATGCTAGTGAGAAATCTTTTACTCAGGGTATACCCCAACGGAAATATATTGTACAGTGTCAGGTAAGTCAATTTATGGCCAAAAAAAAATCACAAATGCTTTAATTTTATTTCGTATCACAGATTAAAATTTAATCAGTGTTAAAAGTAAGAAAGAAAGGAAGGAAGGGAAGGAAGGAAGGAAGTGAAGATAAGAAAGAAAATACTTTATCTGGCATAGATCTATAGTTGCCCAAAGATTTTAAGCCCCGACTGGATAAAAATAATTGTTTAAATCTGGAGCCAAGCAGGAATGGAACATTGTTTGGCCGGAACGGTAGAGGACCACAAATCCTCGGCAACTGTTAATAAGTATTTTGTATTGCGAAATATAATGTTATATTATAATAAATTCCTTGCCTTGATATATTTAAGGTTATATTAAATTTTGAGATTTCAAATGACAAAATATAAATAATTTACAGAATATCATTGCTCCTTTCTTGTCCCATGAGTCTGGAATATTATCCCCTGGATAACCAGCGATGTTACATAGAAATGATAAGCTGTAAGTTTAAAGAAATAATACATTATTTTATATAATTTTTCTATTCATTCTGACCTTTAATTATTTAAAGAATTTTATTTATCAACTACAGATGCCTACACTACAAGAGATATCATATTCGTGTGGAAAGAAGACAATCCTATACAAATCATCAAGAATTTACATTTACCGAGTTTTAGCTTAGAAAGAACCCATACAAGTTATTGCACCAGTAAAACCAATACTGGTAAAATATTTGGAATTTAATTAACGAAAAACTGAATACATTACTATTGATAAATTTTATTATTCATTACAATCCCATTATATTAGCAATCAATCAATTATTTAAATTCTATACTTGCAAAGTGACTATTTTTAGATGCGGAGTCCGAATTTTATAAAAAGCTTACAATTTTCAAGCCCGGTCTGATTTTTTTTTAAAGTGAATACTTTTTGAGGTCGGTCATTTTAATTCATTTTACATTATTATTTATGATTGAATGTAAATCTTTAATTATAAAACGATAGGTGAATACAGTTGCTTAAGAGTCGAACTCTTATTGAGGCGAGAGTTCAGTTACTACATGCTCCAACTTTACATCCCCTCCTTTATGTTGGTCATAGTCTCTTGGGTGTCTTTTTGGCTGGACAAGGAGTCGGTTCCGGGTAGAATATCAATAGGAGTTACGACATTGCTAACCATGGCTACCCAATCATCCGGAATCAATGCTAAGTTACCACCTGTCTCCTATACCAAAGCTATAGACATTTGGATTGGCAGTTGTCTAACTTTCATATTCGGCGCTCTGTTAGAATTCGCGTTAGTAAATTATACGGCTAGAATGGAAGCCTTACAGGCGGCTAATAAAGCTAAAAATGGTAATAACTTTAAAAAGGTTGCAGAGGACCATACAAGGTCTACCACGAAATCATCTGAAGCGCAAGATGTTATAAGTAACGAGCATTCGCGTATGATCGACTTTGAAAGTATGGGAACTACTTATGGAGAAACCAATGATGGAGGGTTATGCGTTTTATATTATAAGAGTTTAAGTTCTATCAGATATTGGCGCACATATTAATATTTCGCATTTGAAAATTTTATTTAATAGTGGGCTTTAAAATTAACCACTCCAGTTCAAATCTAGGCAGTAAAGTTTTGCAAAGCCCAACTTGTTAGGAATTTTTGTACTAGTTGTCTGGCAAGGCCCCTTAGTTTTTTTTAAATTTCCCAGCCCCGCGTGCCGGTCTTTGCAGATCTCTATTAGACGAGGCCTACTTATATTTTTAAATGGTCTCTTGTCCTTCACAATCCTCATTCCAATAAATATTTTTTGCAATCAAAATTAAATTTTCACATTTTTTTTTTGAATAATAAATAACAGGTTTGAAGATGAAACAGAATATTGTAAATGTGGTGCCCCTTTGAGTTCGAGAGATAAATTATACTGCGCGAATGGTGGCGGGAAACTTTACGGTAATGGTTCATACCATGATGGGATGCACGAGGTCTTCAAAGGGAGACATGATAAAGTAATATGAATAAGTTATATGGTAATGTTGTATTTTATAAAAATATCAATCAATTAGTAGTAATATTACTTTGGACAGTATAAAACGTTTAACCTATTTAGTGATTATAATGAAGCTTTATAAATTATTTCATTTTAGGCTTAATCTTTTTAAAAAATTCGAAAAGTTTCAAAACATTTGCAAATTTTTTAGAAATCGTATGTTAAATTTTTTCGAAATATTCTAGAATTATGTTTTGGACATATTTCCATATTTAAAATAGCTTAAATTTTTTAGAAATCATATGTTAAATTTTTTCGAAATATTTTAGAATTATGTTTTGGACATATTTTTATCAGAGACCTGCAGGCCCGGCCCGGGTACCAGGGCTTGAAATTTTTAAAATATACCCGGGCCGGACCTGAAAATTTTTTTTTAAAAAACCTGGGCTGAGCCGGGCCGGGCCGTATTTTTTTAAAAAATTAATACAACATGAATTATTATATTCGTCAATTAGATATGGTTATAATGATTATATATAGTTATGATTAATATAATGTTTGGTGAAAGTTAACACTAGATAACACTCATAGTATCTATTACATAATAAAATTATAGTTTTCCTGCCATGGAATAAATACACAAATTAAATACATTATTATATAATATATAATATGTTATATTTTTTATTAATTAAAATATCATTTTTATTTTTTTTATAAATACATTCTCAAAATATTATTTACATAAATTTTTTATAGTATCAATTTGTAATATACTAAATATCTGTTTAGAATTAAAAAAAATAAAATATGTAATGTTGTTAAACGGCTCGTTTTGAGCCGATTTTTAAAAACTGCTAACACAGTATTTTATTCAGAAATTACGCAAGCCTGAAAATTTTGTTTATGGAAGGAGCAAAGGTCTAGACATATAGTATCGGAATTTCGAGGCTTAGTCAATATTTTATTGAGTTAGCCGTTTTTAAAAATCGGCTCAAAACGAGTCGTTTAACAACTTTAGCTAATATACATGCCTATTAAATGATAATATTCGCCGAAAAATATGTTAAAATACGAAATAATGAATTTTTTGTATATACACCAGGTCGAATATAATTTTAAAAAATTCCGAGCCGAGCCCCCAAAATTTTTTTTTAAATATTCGGGCCGGGCCTAAAATTTTTAAACCCAGGTCGGGCCGTAAAAAATCCGGGCCGGGCCGAAAATTTTTTAATCTGGGCCTGGCCGGGCCATACAAATGGTACCTCTGCAGGTCCCTGATTTTTATATTTAAAATAGCTTATTTCTTTATTTTCATTAAAGTTTTCGAAAGTTTGTGAATTTAATTTTTTTTGACATTTTGGACATAGTGTTATTAAAAAAAAACAAATACCACTTTGTGGATATTATCAAGTATTTTCCGGATTTTTTGGAAAATACTTTTCATTTTCTAAAAAGGGATCTAGGTATATATGTTACCGTCAATGTATTATTTTCGGCAATGTACACATTGCCTGATTATTTTAGGCAATGTGTTACGGTGGTATGGTAGCCAGGGTGAATTAGTTATTTAGGCAATGTATTATTTTTGTAATATATTATTAATAATATTTTATTTATTATTAATAATTTTTTAAGATTATTTTTCTTAATTTATAATTTTTTTTAGATAATATAATTTGTATTAAATATAATATTTTTATAAAATGATTTTTGATCGCTAATTTTTAATATTATTTTTTACGTATTTTTTCCTGATATATCTTTTGATCGCTAATTATTTAGGTAAAAATATAAACATGTTATATTAATATTTTAGTGAAGATGTACCATAGAAAAGTGACAAATGACATAATCGTTTTTTGAACTTTTTAAAAAATTTTTTTAAATTTGCTTTGAAAAAATTTAAAAAAGTTCAAAATAACGATTATGACAATTGTCACTTTTCTATGGTACATCTTCACGGAAATTTTAATTTAACATGTTTACAATTATATATTTTTACCCATTTGCTTTAAAAAAATTCAAAAATAGCGATTATGACAATTGTGACTTTTCTATGGTACATCTTCACTGAAATTTTAATTTAACATTTATTACAATATATATTTTTACCTATTTACTTTAAAAAAATTCAAAAAAGTTCAAAAATAACGATTAAGACAATTGTCACTTTTCTATGGTACATCATCTCACTGAAATTTTAATTTAACATGTTTACAATATATATTTTTACCCATTTGCTTTAAAAATATTCAAAAAAGTTTAAAAATAGCGATTATTACAATTGTAACTTTTCTATGGTGCATCTTCAATGAAATTTTAATTTAACATGTTTACAATATATATTTTTACCCATTTGCTTTAAAAAAATTCAAAAAAGTTCAATAATTATTATGACAATTGTCACTTTTCTATGGTACATCTTTACTGAAATTTTAATTTAACATCTTTACAATATATATTTTTACCTATTTAATTTAAAAAAGTTCTAAAATAACGATTATGACATTTGTTACTTTTCTATGGTACATCTTCACTGAAATATTAATATAACATGTTTATATTTTTACCTAAAAAATTAGCGATCAAAGATATATCTGGGAAAAATACGTAAAAAATAATCTTAAAAATATTTAAAAATAATATTAAAAATTAGCGATCAAAAGATATATCAGGAAAAAATACGTAAAAAATAATATTAAAAAATATGAAAAATTAGCGATCAAAAATCTCTTTTATAAAAATATTATATTTACAAATTATATTATCTAAAAAAATTATAAATTAAGTAAAATAATAATCTTAAAAAATTATTAATAATAAATAAAATATTATTAATAATATAATATTACAAAAATAATACATTGCCTAAATAACTAATTCACCCTACCACCGTAACACATTGCCTAAAATAATCAGGCAATGTGTACATTGCCGACAAAAATAACACATTGACGCTAACATATACATCATATAAAATGTATTAGATACAATTTTTGTTATAATTATTAAAATGAGCTAAATAAGAATTTATTGAATTTATCTCATCTATATATAATTATAACATAAATATAAAACATTCTCGAAATTTTGTCCCCATCCATGTAATGAAATAAACTCGGACATAATATTTAATTCAAATAATTAATATTTTAATATAATAAAATTATATCAAAATATGTCTAGAAATAGATACAGATACCTCTAAAATATTATCCAAATACTTTAACAACTCTTGTATTTTGAATATAATTACATTAAAAGTTAATGTTAAACTTAAATTAAACATAAATATTAATTTATGACTTTATTATTAAATATATCTAAAACCACTTGTTATATATAATGAGAAATCTCAATAATAGCGTATGAATTTTACCTGAAACATTTGCAGTTTACCTAGCATTTTGAAGTTTATCAAACTTATATTGGATTTTTTTATAAAAAAAATAAAAATGAGAACATCTTTATGATTGGTTGTGATTGATCTCTCTCCTTCCCTCCTATTCTAAGAAAGAATTACAGTTTTATAAATTTTGTCATCATCAATTCTTTTTAAATAAAAAATATTTATTTAATTTTGACAACACAGACGCATACCTTAAATGATTACAATACCCAAAGCGAAGTTTCGTTCATGCTTCCCTCGGCTTCCATGAGTTACGATACCAACAATCATGTCAAATCTAAGGGGAGTAAAAGGAAATTAAATCGGAGTCAAACAATGAGTGAATATCACATGGGGTCTGAAGAGAGAAATAAGATGGAAGAAGGGTATTGTTATGATATAATTAAGAATTTGTATATTTTTAAAGGTATGCAATATAGACTTAAATTTACAAGAAATAAATGATTACATAAATCTTGATGTCTAACAGGATATATTTTGAATTATGACTAGGGCTTGTGGAAATCAAAAACCGAAAAGAACTTTTTAAAAATTATGAATGTGAATTTTTGGTTTCGAATTATCCAAAAAATAACTTATTTTTAAAAAAAATTAATTGTTAACAACAGATATTCTATGATGAATTCTTCCTATCCTTCATCCACATTGCATCAACCACCTATTATTACGAATAAAAGATCTGGAGGGATATGCTTCCATTCATTCATGAAAAAGTACAAGAGTAGATCTAAAAGGATAGACGTATTATCCAGAATATTTTTTCCGCTCGCATTTACGGGATTTAATATAGTGTATTGGGTGGCCTATATGGTATGACCATTTATATAAAATCTTCAACAAAAAAAATCACAAAAATAATTAATTTTTTGAAATGTCGATCGTAGAAATTGCTTGTATAACAAAATGTTAGGATCATCTTAGCATTATGATATCTAAAAAGCTAGTTTGTACTTTTGGATTTTAAATCGCGATGTAATTTATGTATTTATCATCTTTTATTTCCGATATAGAGCATAGATTTTAGTCGACATATCATTGAAAAAACTGCATTTACATTAAAATTTAATTATATTGTGTTTAATGTTTACTTGTATATTTAATTTATCAATTTGATATAAAAAAAATTTTTTATTACTAAATTTGTATTCGTCAAACTTTTGCAAAAAGAATAGTAAAAAAAATTATATTCAGCCTTGGATTGTAATATTAAATTACAATAAATAAAACCTTATTTATATCGTGCACATAGTTATTATTAAACAATAAAAGGTTAGAAATCACTAAATGACCTAAATACCTTTAATATATCTAATTTCTAAGCTTGAAGAACTATAGGATCAATTTTTGTCATCATTGTATTCAAAAAGTGATAATTGTTAGTATAAAATCTAATTAATTTTCTGTTCTAAAATAAAAATCAATTTAATTTTAAATCACCCCGATTTCTTTAAAAATTAGTGATTTAGATCAATATTTTAAATAAAATTTTATTTACTAAATTTGATCGAAATACTTTATATAAGGATAGAGTAAGACTTGGATTATTTTAGAATTAAATTTTTACATGAAAAATATTAAATTGTACCAGTAATCCTTACTTGTTAGATTAAAAAAAAATGCTTGATTTATTTTGTATTTCATTGTTTCAATTTTTGACATGTAGTGAGAATTATTTAATAATCTAATGGCTGTAAACCCTCCTAAAAAATGGTTCGTTCATTGAAATATCTCTGAGCTCGGTTCGGGTTTAGTCTATTAAAATATAAACTCTAGAATTTAGTAAAAATAACAGAAATATCAGTTTTGAGATTTTATCATTATAATTCGAATGCAAGAATTATCATATCTTCCAAAAGCTAGACGTTAAAATTAAAAGATCGATTTTCTATGCCTAACTTTGATAATGCATTACAACTTTTCACATACTAGTTTTCCTAAACGATTCCTAAGTTTGAAATAACTCTATATGATTAAAATGCTCGAGTGAAGCTGATGATTGTTTTATTATGAATTAAATATACTGCTAACCATAATCATTTTTTTTATTATTTCATTGGAAAACATAATTTTATTTAACAAGTCGATGTATCGAATTGATTGTATCCATGTTCCATTGCCACTTCGGTTTCACTGTTTGTTAAATTTGAAACATATTTGGAGTTTAGAAGATAGGATAAGAAATGCGTCGGAACAAAATATTAAACAAATCAAATCAATCTAATCATTTGTAAAATGATTGGTAATTTGAAAAAAAGATTAATTATATCTAAATTAGATTAGTTTATTATTTATTATTATAGATTGTTTTTATAACACACCACCTGAAAATAAACATTATAATAAATAATTGATTTATCATCAGAAAAAAATTAATTAAACCATCTTTATCATAACATAATTGAAGAACGAGCTTCTCTCGAAAAAAGAAAGGAAAGGTAGAGTTTTAACATTTTTGGAGCGTACTAAATAATTACCACAAAATTAATAATCAAGATTATTTTAAATCAAGGGTACCCAATTGAGAAATAAGCAATAGCTAAAATAATAAAGCCACATTTATTTAATTAGTCAAATCACTTTTTTAAATTTGGTTTAATAGTTTTATTTGAGGATATTCATAATAGTATTCGTTTAAATGAATGTAACTGATATTGACTAGTTAAATTTTTTTAAAAACAGTTTTTACATATCATCGAATTTTTGATTGAAAGTTGGATTTTCATTTGACAAAATATCAAATTAACACATGGCTTATCAATATATATTTTTTTCAATAATTTTCTGACCGGATCTCCTAAAGCATTAACTTTTTACTTACAAAGAAATATTATACTAAGGTAAAAAAATTATGCTATATGATATTTTTCAATTTAACTCTGTAACTTCTCTATATGAAATATAAGTTTTAATTTTTTTCAAAAAAAATCACTAATTTTGCCAACCCTAATTCTTTTTCAACAACATAATTCAAGAAATAAAATACTCATCATAAGTCATTTTAAAAGCCACGAAAAAAAAAATTTAATTATTATATTAATAAATATAAAATTAAGGTAAAAATATTATCCATGATTAATGGTAGGATTTTTTTTCAAAATATTCACGAGGGATCATCATATATATTTCAGAATCGCCATTATGTATTCAACTTTCCCCAAGAATGTGGGAGTGGGAAGGGCCTGTAAATCAACTATTTTGAAATGAGAATCTGCTTCGCATCTTTTATCATCCTCATCATCGTCTTCATCGGCAAAGATACCATTCCCAATATTCTCTAAATATCGGAAATTTTAAGAGTTGAATTATATTAAATAAATCAATAAACGACAAATAAATGAATGAATATTTATTTAAAAAATAACTTTTGTCGGATATGGGTTGAAAATCGGGAGAATCACCCAAGCTCATGCAAACCAAAGGGCCGCTTTCGGGTCCGTATTGAATGTGAAGCGAACTTGAGAAATTGGAGGAGTAGAAAAAGGCACGTGTGAAAATTCATACATGTCCAAAAATAGAAAAAATTTAAAATAAGATATTTTTTTAGGAAAAAGTCGAAAAAGGAGATTTTATTCACAAGGCTTATTAACTACTATGAACCAGCTTAATGCATTAAATATTTATTTTCGTTGACCTTTTTAATTTTTAAGTAATTATGACAATTAAAACATGATTATTTCTAGCGTCAATACTAATTAAACACGTCTTTAACAAACAAAAGCTAATATGGATCAAAATTTTGAAAAACAATTATTATTAAAATTAGGTTTTAAGAAAACGGTTAGAAAATATTTTTTTATATATTTATTTTACAAATATTATATTTTTATAAATCTTTTTTTAAACGTAATATCTGGAGAAAAAATAGTCATATCTACTATAAAATTTTTGAAGGTAATGAACGAAAATAATATAACGACGTTACATTTTTAAAGTAAGGTCTACAACACTGTTATATCCTTATAAAATTGTTATTTTATAAAATAGGTATTCTACATATACTTAATTACATTTCCGGGAATATAAAAATCCTTTTTTATTTAAAAAAACGAGTTAAATATTTTAAAGTTAGCACTAGTGTTGCGTAATCGGCTAATTTTAGCCGACTATAAAACGGCTTAGCCGAGATTTTAGGTGAATAAATCGGCTAAGCCTAATTAAGCTAAGCCTAAAAATCGGCTAAGCCTAATTAGGCTAAAATAAATTAGTCAAAAATTCTGCATCGATGCCTAGCTAGCATTAATTATTATTTATTTATTTTAGTAAAATATTTTATTTTATTTATATTTAATGTAAATATTTTATTATTATCAACAAATAAACATGATATGATTTAATATTTTTTATTTATATTATTTTATTTTGAAATGAAAATAAATTTATTTATTTGATGTTTTTTTAATAAAAAAAATAATATGCAGCTATTGTAAAAATGTAATATTCTATTTTAATATAATTTATTAGTGATTTTCACAATCTTCTTTGTAAATACATCTTTTATTGAGGAATTATATTGTAAATTTTATTAGATAAAAAAACAATCTTTTAGGTGAAATCTTTTATAATATTTTTTTTATCAATTTTGTAAAATTCAATTTTTTTATTAAATGATATATTAAACTTTTTTGATGTTATTTTATATGATCTTTTTAAGGATAATATTTTAATGTGATAATTGTCATAATCGTTATTTTAAAGTTTTTTGACGAATATATGTTAAAATAAGTATTGATACATATTTAAAATAAAATTTAGTGAAGATGTACCATAGAAAAGTGACAATTGTCATAATCGTTATTTTTAAAGTTTTTTTATTTTTTTTTTGACGAAAATAGATTAAAATAAGTATTGATAACATGTTTAAATAAAAATTTAGTGAAGATGTACCATAGAAAAGTGATAATTGTCATAATCGTTATTTTTAAAGTTTTTTGGCGAAAATAGTTTAAAATAAGTATTGATAACATGTTTAAATAAAAATTTAGTGAAGATGGACCATAGAAAAGTGACAATTGTCATAATCGTTATTATTAAAGTTTTTTTAATTTTTTTGAGAAAAATATGTTTAAATAAGTATTGATAATATGTTTAAATTAAATTTAGTGACGATGTACCGTAGAAATGTGACAATTGTCATAATCGTTATTTTTAAAGTTTTTTGACGTAAATAGGCTAAAATAAGTATTGATAATATGTTTAAATAAAATTTAGTGAAGATGTACCGTAGAAAATTGACGATTGTCATAATCGTTATTTTTATAAAGGCTTTTGATTTTTTTTGACGAAAATAGATTAAAATGAGTATTGATAAAAATAAAACAACATTAAAAAAATCCAGAACGGGCTGGCCCTGAATATATAGGGTACGAACTAAAATCCTGGCCAGGCCTAATTTTTTTTTAAAAAAAAAAGCCGGAACGAAATTTTTATATTTTAAAAATTAGGGTCATGCAAATAACACCTCTACTGCTATCTCATAAATTAATTATTTACAAAACCACATTTTAAAATTCATAAACAACACTTAATATGAATAAAAATCACCTATAAAAATATTTAATAAAAAAAATTTATTAAAATTTACATCAAATTTTATGAAAAAATAGAAAAAAAATGTCGAGTTAATAATTGATTATTTATCAATCAAATTATCTTTAGCTTAAAAAAAATAAATATTTATATTTTAATTTCTTAACCTATAAAATTAATTATAGCACTAATTTCATTTGCTTCAAAAAACTTAAAAATAACGATTATGACAATTGTCACTTATCTAGAGTACATCTTCACTAAATTTTTATTTAAACATGTTATCAATACTTATTTTAAAATTTTTCGTCAATAAAATTCAAAAAACTTTAAAAATAACGATTATGACAATTGTCACTTTTCTACGGTGCATCTTCACTAAATTTTATTTAAACATGTTATCAATACTTATTTTAGCCTATTTACGTCAAAAAAATTCAAAAAACTTTAAAAACTATGATTATGACAATTGTCACTCATCTATGGAAGATCTTCACTAAATTTTATTTAAACATGTTATCAATACTTATTTTAAGATATTTTCGTCAAAAAAATTCAAAAAACTTTAAAAACTACGATTATGACAATTGTCACTTTTCTACGGTACATCTTAACTAAATTTTATTTAAACATGTTATCAATACTTATTTTAACATATTTTCGTCAAAAAAATTCCAAAAACTTTAAAAATAACGATTATGACAAATGTCACTTATCTATGGTACATCTTCACTAAATTTTATTTAAACATGTTATCATTACTTATTTTAACCTATTTACGCAAAAAAAATTCAAAAAACTTTAAAAACTACGATTATGACTAGCCTTATTAGGCTTAGGCGTAGTTTTTAGCCGATTACGCAACACTTGTTAGCACAATCAATTGTTAGGCATACTTTTTAATTTGAAATTTTATGTCGACATTGTATTCCGGTAATTTTAAACAATTTGGCCAATAATTGTTAACCTAATTTTAAATTTTTAATACACTGACGAATACAAGGATTGACTGATATATTTGCCTGCCACATTGCCGACAACATTAACATATATAAAAAAAAGAACCAATTTTCGTTGGGAGATCTGAGGGTGATAGTGGATTTATTGCCGTAAGATTCCGTATTATGATCGCAAGAACCGCTAAAGGTATCGTTAGCGATTGTTTGCCAGTTCATAAGTTTCGAAAGCGACTGAACAGCGTTTATTTGATGTTGAGATACCTTTTTTTAACATAATGTAAAACGTATAAATAAAGTTTTAAAAGGTATAATCTAATATGCTTTGTTCTGAGATCTGCAAACGTGTCTTCTAAACGAGCCTTAAAATCAATTTTTTGAAATATCGGGCCGGGTCAACCAATTTTTTTTACATCCTGGCCAAGTAGAAAGCAATTTCTTAGTCCCTAGTATATTCATGCCCCCCCCCGATAAAAAAAATGAATATGAAATAATGGGTTATATAACACTTAAATAGTATATTATAACATTTTTTTTCTTTAAAAAATCAAAAAAAACAGGATTAGGTAGTTTATCCCCTCCCCCCTACATATTTTACAGAAAAAAAAATCGTGCCAAAAAGTACTAACCACAATTAATAAAATAATTTTTATTTTGAAAAAAAAACAAGACGCCTGGCTATAGAAATTATAATTACTCCTTGAAAGCCGAACTGATAGTTATTGTGAAAAGAAGAAAAAAAAATTCTCTCAGTCTATTTGACCATAAATTAGAGGATGAAACGTAAATTGTGTTGTTAGATGGATTGCCATTTATATAATTATTTTTTTGAAAAAATGTGAAATTTAATTAATCTTTTAATTTCTAATTTTACGAACATAAACATATTATTTTATTCATTTTTATTCTAATTTTGTATTTTGTTCTAACTTCGAGTGTAAGCAACTTGGACTAAATTACACGTTTCTTATTTGAATATAATGTTATTTGCACTTGCAGTTTGATTAACATAATTTTTATTATTTTTTTAAAGTTTAGATAGACATTTTAGGTATATTCTTGATTTTGTCACATTCGCTATCAGACTTGGAGATATTTTCTCGGTCTGATTGGGAACCTGGTTAAATTTTTAAAATCAATTAATTTTCCTAATTCTTTTTAATTAAAATTATTTATAAAAATAAGGCCAATTTTTTTATTTTAAAAAAAAATTATTTTTTCGCACTTCGAGATAGGTAATATTTTTTTGAAAAAAAAGGATAGGATCGGATCTTTGAACAAATCTCTGATCCGTCGGTGTAACTAAAAATTTAAATTTTTTCTCGGCTAGGGTCAGACCTGACATTTTTTTTTACCAGGTGTACGCTTTAATAAAAGTCTATAACCTAAACAGCTTTAAAAAAAGAAAGTAAAGAAATTAAAGCAAAAAATAAACTTGAATGGCCAACGTTCTATATAAATCTTTGGATTCGTGAGTCAGCCACAGAACTCTTCCGTCCCGCATGACCACTTTTATTCTCTCCGCGTCTATTTGGATGTACAAGGAAGTTCTTTTGAGAAAAAAAAGTTTTTAAATTTTTGGTATATTTTTATAAAGCTATCTCCTAAACCTAGTTTAAAAATTCGCTAAAATAAAAAAACTTTTACAAAATTCTAATCACCTCTCGTAGGTCAAAATTTTGAAATAATTTTTTAAGACATGTTTTTGTTTTTATATTTTTTTTTATCCGTTTAAGTTTCGAAAGTTTACGAATTATATTTTTAATATTTTAGGACACCGCCTAATGTACCGAATTTAGTATACAATATATAGCTGGAAAAAAAGGAAGTAGATTGATCTTACAAATATTCTCCCCATAAATTAATTTAGAACAGCAAGAAGGGAACGTTCCGGAAGATGGAATTATGAAACAAAAACTAACTTCTGGAAAGTTTTTACAGATAAGAAGCTTGTAATTAATTTATTGGTAAAATCCTGATAAAAATGTACAAAAGACTTGAGGCAATGTTCCGATCAAAAAAAAGATCAATCAGGAAGGTAAAGTATCACGAAGAGTCTCACAATTAAAGGAAAGGTTAATTATTCTTATTGCCAATGGCGGTACCGAACGAATCGATATTTTACAATTTTTGCATTGATAGGCACTACAAAATGTGTATTTTTTTAATATAAATTAACGGAATCAAGTGGTCAAATCCGATCTACTATATATCATCCCTCTCAAAGACGGAACCACCTAACTGGCTTCAGAAAAAACATGATCCTAGATGGATTCGAACTCACAACTATCGGATTGGCAAGCGACGCGCTTATCGACTAGGCCGTACACGCTTTTCAAAAATTACGATTTTTTTAAAATATATATTGTAACCAAATTTGGCAGTCTCTATTATAAACCAAAAGAAAAATCCTAATTTTTGTATATTTTATTTGTCATTTAAATAATCCTGAATCAGTCATTTTAAAAAAAATTTTTATAGCTTTTTGTGATTTCTCTTTATTTTATGTCATTTTTAATCTATTTTTGCAATATTTTATTTTTCCTCTCATTTTTTATAATTATTTTTTTTGCCATTTTAAAAATAATTTTTTTATTTCCCCTTGTCATCTTTCCTCAATTCTCTATTTTTCTATATCTTTCCTTTTATTTTAACCATAATATAAAAAAAATGTTTTAATGCCACTTCTTTAATAAAACGTATAAGAAATATGAAAACTTAAATGATATAAGAACCTGCAAATAGCTTCGTAACTTTTGCTGACTATATTGACGATAAAGGCCGAATGGTATGGGTCGCTGTTAGAGCACATATGAATAATGAATAAGGGATCAGGATTGGTCTTGGTATATTCGTTCAAAATGCGCATCGTTCTATTCAAGTTAAAAAATAGGTATATACATATATATATTTTGCTTGACAAATCGTAACAATGATCCCATCAAACCTTCCCAGACACCGAGGTCAGGCTTCTAAACTTATATTCCTAAAAAAATGAAACCGCAAAATATCTTAGGATTAAAGTAGTAAGGCATTGAAGGGAGTGGGGAGGGGGTATTAAGTAATGGCTCTGATTTGTGCCCTCTAAATTCTCTAAAAAAACTTTCGCTTCCTATGTCCCCTATACCTTCTGCGATGGAAGCAGAATACCCCCCTGAAAAGTACCCCCACCTTGACACCGATATTGCATCAATCTTTAATATATAATATAAATAAAATATAAAAAATATATACTTTAAAAATATTATTTTTTAATAAATTTAGACAAATTAGGGGAAGAGAAAGCGAAAGAATTTATAATTTCATCATATATAATTGCTTAAATAATTTTTTTTTCCATTGATAAAATTGTTAAATTATTAAGAAATGGATTTTTCATGGTACTACGAATTCTTGTTTTAATTAATTTAATTTTACTCATGACCCTCTCGGCAGTACATGAGGTGGTATGAATGGTTAATAAATATTTAAATAAAATTGTTAAATTAGGGAAAGCAGAAGTAGACGATAAGGTAAAATAAACGAATAATTTTTCCAGTCTGAATCAAAAAGTCTCAGAATTAACATCATGAGAAGAAGAAGCTAAATAATGTATTAGTAAAAATATTTTAATTAAATAAATTTTAAATTCTCAGAATCTGACAAATCTTTATTTAACCTCTAGCTCACGTGTAATAATCAGGGTTGGCATGTCGGTCAATTGACCGGTCAAATACTCTAAAATATTAATGGCGAATAAATATTTTGATATAATTAAGTAGTATGCATTAAAAGCATGTTTATCAATCTTATTATTTTTTTATTAAAATATAAATATGTAATTTTTCTAAATATAGTAATATTTTAGTTATTTTTTTGCCTAATCATTGCCGTTTCTCGCCTTCTTTATTTTTTTCAATTCATTTTTCTTAAAAAAAATAAAAATACCCGATTTATTATAATCATAATATAATTTTTTCATTCTTATTTTTTAATAAATTTAAATTTTATTTAATATTTAGCCGAGTATAAATTATATTAATTCTCATTTGTTTTACTTACACTTGCTATATTTGGTTTTTAAAATTAATTTTCATTTTAATTGTTCTGGTCAGATTTACGGAATATTATTCAATTCTGGTAAAAAGTTTATTATATTATATTTATAATATTAAGAAATTATTGGAATAATTGGTCGATAATTATAAAATAGTTAAGATTGATTAACTTTACAATAATCAAAATCATTTTTTGTTAAATTTTAATATATTAGGGATTATGGTCAAACCAAAGCATCATGTTTGGAAACATTTTCAAGAAGTACGCGATGGTAAATCAGTTAAAGCGGTGTGCAAGTTTTGCAAGATGTCCTATATCACCCACGTTGATAGAATGGTCAAACATTTATTAAGCAGCTGTACTATGTGCCCTGTTATAATTAAGGAAAAATTTTATTCAAATTCCAAAATATCAACCTCTACAAAAAATATCACAAATGTAATTTGTAATACTTCTAAGTCTAACTCTAATAGAGAATTGGGTGAAATTAGTGAGAATGATTATCAAATGAACAATATTTTGTCTTGTGACTCAGGAGAATTTGATTCCCTTATTTCTAATCAATCTACAAGCAAGGCGATTAAATATAAATCTCAATCTTGTATAACCGTTTTCATAGATAGAATTAATCCCAAAGAAAAAAATGAGCTGGATCAATTGTTTGCAAAGGCTTTATATGCGAGCAATTTACCTTTCCACATCACTGAAAATCCCTACATCCAAGAATTTTTTAAAAAAATACATCCTATTTACACATTACCCAGGAGAAGGCAGCTGGCTGGATATCTTCTAGACAAAGCGTCAGGTGATATGGAGGTGAGAGTTGCAGATATAATAGATAAAGCTTTTTACTTATCAATTGTATCAGATGGCTGGAGCAACATTAGATACGAGAGTATTATTAATTTTATGGTGATGACGCCTGTTCCAGTGTTCTACAAATTTCTAAATACTGAGGAAAATAGCCATACGGCAGATTATATTGCCCAGGAATTTAAAAATGTAATTCATGAATTGAATCCGGTAAAAGTATATTCTTTAGTTACTGATAATGCCGCTAACATGAAAGCAGCCTGGAGAATTCTAAAATCTGAATTTATTTATAATCATATACAATGTTATGGTTGTGCAGCGCATACATTGCAGTTATTCTTTCACGATTTTGAACGATTGGACGCCTTCAGTGACCATATTTCAATAATTAAAAAAATTGTTAAATTTTTCAAGAATAAACACATACCAGCTGCAGTATTTTCCCGTAATAAGAATCTTCATGGCATACCATCTACATTAAGTACAATTAGCCAAACAAGATGGGCATCGTCAATAAAATGTATGGAGCAAATTCAAATATGCAAGAAAGCTCTAAAAGCATCAGTTGTTGAAGAAGCTGTTTGTGATAATTGTCCCATAGAAATTGCCAATAATATATTAAACGAAGAATTTTGGACGAAAAATTTAAAATTTTTAGCTATACTCCAACCTTTAGCTACCTCATTGTTGAAAGTGCAAGGGGATAAATGTACTTTGGCCCAAGTAAAAAACGAGATGCTTAATTTGGAAAAACACATAATACAATCATGCCATGATTCTATATTTTCTCCATCTCAAGAAAAAAAAATTAAGGTTATGTTTGAAAAGAGAAAAACTGATATAAATACATGTGCTCACAATGCTGCTTATTTATTGGACCCCCAATATCAAGGGGAGCATCTTACTAATACTGAATTTGATGCATGTAATATAATACAAGAATTGGGTATTTTACTTTGAGTAATATAGTAAATTTCAGAAGCAAAAGCGGTATATTTAATAGCCATAATATGTGGAAAGTTGTAACTTCCATAAGAAACAATCAAATTTCGGCCTCAAGTTGGTGGAATGCATTTTGCCCACCTTGCCCATTAAGAGAAGTCGCTAATATTTTACTAACATTTCCTAGTTAGACTTCTTCTTCTGAAAGAAATTGGTCGGTTTGGGGCAATATTCACACGAAAAACAGAAATAGATTAAAGGCTTCTACAGCAGGAAAATTAGTAAGAGTGTATCATAATTTAAGATTGATTAAAAATATTAAAGAAAATAATGATATTGAATATGAATCGGAACAAGACTCTGCCACACTATAGAATGAATTAAAAAATATTATGATATTTATTATTATACATAGATTTATTATAATATTATATAAATGCAAAATAAAGTTAATATTGGTGTAAAAAACATTTATTTGAATTTGACCATATTTGACCGGTCAAATATCGGTCAATTGACCGAATTGTATTTGACCGGTCAAATGCACAACCCTGGTAATAATTACATCCCCCGTTTTAGCCATCTTATAAATATTTCGAAACTTAAACATTTCTTCAAAAATTTAAATTGAATTAAAATGAGATATCCTCGATATCATCTTTAACAAATGACTTTTCCGCAATTCCTTTTGATGTAAAAAATGATGTTTGATTAAAAAATTTTCTCGATTCATCATTAACTTTCATTAAACTGCATAATAATCAAATCAAGTGCAGCATAAAACATACTTGTTTTAAAGCTAAAATAAAATATTATATTTAATGATGAAAGTATACATTAGTGTTGTTAAATGGCTGAGCCAAGCCGGCTTAGCCGAAAACTCAGCCAGTTTCTGAGCCAAAAATTCGGCTCAGGCTCAAGCCGGCTCATTGAGCCGGCTGGCTCAAGCCGATAGCTCAAGCCGATAGCTCAAGCCGATAGCTCAAGCCGATGGCTCAAGCCGATAGCTCAAGCCGATGGCTCAAGCCGATAGCTCAAGCCGATAGCTCTAGCCGATGGCTCAAGCCGATAGCTCTAGCCGATGGCTCAAGCCGATAGCTATAGCCGATGGCTCAAACCGATTCAAGACTAATCCGGCTAGCCGTTTAACAACGCTAACAAATAAATAAATTTCGAATCAAGGGTCGGCTTGAGCTAAGTCATGAGCTCACTCGAGCTAAATTTGACTCAAAAGGCCGGCTTAAGTCAATTTTAGACTCGAAAACTAGATGAGTTTTCAGCCGTTTACCAATATTAATCTTAAATAAATTTCGGCTTGAGCCAAAATGAAGATCATAATAACAATTAAAAAAGGTCTACGACACTTATTTCATCGGTATAGCAAACTTTTGTTTTTTTTCTACCGAAGTATAAAATATGATATTGCACGAAGTATATTAAAGATCTGCAAGAGTAGGCCCGGCCAGTACCTGGTCCGAACGGGCTTCGGGCTTATATTTTAAAAAAAATCAGATTCGGGCTGGGACAGGCATAATATTTTTTTAAAAATTCGGGCCTGGTGGTGCTCAGTCAGGCCTGATAAATTTTTTTATCTAAATTTATCAATTTTATGTGATTTTGTTTCTAGAAGGAACAAAGGTTTGGACATCTATTAGCGAAATCATGAGGCTTAGCAAATATTTTTCCGGCTAAAATATTGAGTTTTTTATAAATCGGCTCAAAACGAGCCGTTTAACAACATTTTTTTTCTCTGAATTAATAATTTTTTTTTATAAGGTGTAGATGTTAATATTTCTGAATTCTTTTTTTTAGATATTTTATCCGATGAAATATTGAATAATTTTGGAATAGGTATTATAGATGAAGGATTGAATACTTTATTATAATTTTTTGAGCATGATGGTAACATATGATAGGGTTCATCAATATCATCTGGAACATTTTCGTTCAATAATATAGATAAATCACTATCATTATTTTGAGTCACTGTAAGATTTTGAGTCACTGTAATATTTTCATCATTATTTTCAAATTCAATATTTGAGCTAGCATTTGAATTATTACAGCAGATATAATCTTG